CTACACAATATTTTAAAGAGCCCAACTATTTGACGGTTGGAGAACTTTGCACCCCACGAAAAGATTTTCTCCACCCTCAAGTCGTTACACACGCATAGATATGCTATTTCTACAACACCGATATCTGCACCTCATTAAATCATCCTCCTATGGAGCGATTTTTGTGGTCCGATCACGCACCCCTGTCTCTTGAAACTTCTATTCCGTCCCTACCACACGCTGCCCCCCCCCAATGGAAATTAAATGATCTACTGCTTAAGAACACAGACATTATTAATCAGCTATAGGAGACCATCAAATGGTACTTTGAGGATAACGCACACCCTGACACCACACCTACCATACTATGGGAAGCCCATAAATACGTTATGAGAGGAGCGCTAATTAAAGTAGCCTCAGCCCAGAAATGCAAAAGAGAAAAACAAATCCAGCTACTGCTTACTGACATTAAAAGACACAGCACAGACCTAACACTGGAAACTTATAAGGCATTGACGGCTAAAAAATCTGTTATCGACAATATTAAATTTGCAAACCAAACGAAAACTAAACTAATTAACCCCTTAAATCCGCAGGGCGTACTATTACGCCCTGCAGGAGCCGGCTCTAAACGCCGGCGGGCGTAATAGTACGCCCTCACTTTAATGGCCGCCCACGTGGCCGGCGCTATTTGCCCGCTGCAGATCGCGGTCGGGGGGGATGCCCGGCCCCCCAGGCAACCCCCCCTGTGGCCGGGGACCGCGATCTGCAGTCACTGATCGCAGTGACAGGCTGTCACTGCGATCAGTATTTAACGTGTGTCAGCCGATTTCAAATCGGCTGACACACGTGGCCAGCGGCTCTCCCCGTGCAGATCGCGGTCGGGGGACTTACCTGGCCCCCCAGGCAGTCCCCCTGGGGTCAGTGACCGCGATCTGCTAACTCTGAGATCGCAATGACAGGCTGTCACTGCGATCTCAGAGCGCTCTGATCGCAGTGACAGCCTGTCACTGCTATCAGTGTTACATGTGTCAGCCTATTGGCTGACACATGTAACTGGTACACAGATCCCCCTGCAGATTGGAAGGGGGGAGTGCTTGTACCACCCAGGCCCTCCCCCCTGTGGCCAATTACCCAATCTGCAGGAGGTGATCACAGTGACAGGCAGTCACTGTGATCACTGATCCTGTGTGTCAGCCAGTGATGTAAAATCACTGGCTGACACTGTCTCTGCCCCTCTCCTGTAAAAAAAATAAAACATTAGTTAAAAAAAAAAAATTACAGTTAAATATAAAATATACTTAGACTTAGATCATATATATTATATATATGATCTAAGTATATATATATACACACACACACACACATTTACACATACACGGAGTGTATTTAAATATTAATATATATAATTATTTATATATATATTACTATCAAATTACACGTAGACTAATACTGATTAAATATATATATATATATAATTATTGTTATATATATATATTTATATATAATATAAAAAATGTAAATACGTAAAAAAAATAAAATTAAAAAAATAATTAAAAATAAATAATAAAAAAATATATAGATGTTTGTTATTTCGTTCTAACTGTATTGTGATATTAATATATATATATTTATATCAAAATACACGTAGGACGAAATAATATATATATCTATATACATAAATATATACATATATATCACTAAATATATACACCTATATATAAATAAAAATATTTTAAAAAATTATATATATATATATATGTATATATACACATATGTATATATATACATATATTAATTCTACACATATATTTATGTAATATTTTTACATAATTAGGTATCCTAATTAATTACAATTAGCGGACCTGCCTGACAACCCATGCCGAAAGTATAGGGAATTTAATTTGCTAGCACTATATTTAACCCTATAACTTTCCAAGACACCATAAAACCTGTAAATTGGGGGTACTGTTTTACTCGGGAGACTTCGCTAAACACAAATATTAGTGTTTCAAAACAGTAAAATGTATTACAACAATGATATCGCCAGTAAAAGTGAAGTTTTTTGCATTTTTCACGCACAAACAGCACTTACACGGATGATATTATTGCTGTAATACTTTTTACTGTTTTGAAACACAAATATTTGTGTTCAGCGAAGTCTCCCGAGTACAACAGTACCCCTCATGTACAGGTTTTATGGTGTTTCCAAAAGTTACAGCGTCAAATATAAGGCATGTGTTTCATTTTTTTCACATTAAAATTCGTCAGATTGGTTACGTTGCCTTTGAGACCCTATGGTAGCCCAAGAATGAAAATTACCCCTATGATGGCATACCATTTGCAATAGTAGACAACCCAAGGTATTGCAAACAGGGTATGTCCAGTCTTTTTTAGTAGCCACTTAGTCACAAACACTGGCCAAAATTGGCGTTTTTTTGCATTTTTCACACAAACAGATACTAACGCTAACTTTGGCCAGTGTTTGTGACCAAATGGCTACTAAAAAAGACTGGACATACCCCATTTGCAATACCTTGGGTTGTCTACTATTGCAAATGGTATGCCATTATAGGGTGTAAATTCATTCCTGGGCTACTATACAGTCTCAAAGGCAACGTAACCAATCTGGCGAATTTCAATTTCAAATGTAACGTGCTATATTTGACCCTGTAACTTCCCAAAACGCCATAAAACCTGTACATAGGGGGTACTGTTTTACACGTGAGACTTTGCTGAATACAAATATGTGTATTTTATTGCAGTAAAAGCAAACAGTATTATGACATTGACCGTTAAAATGTCATGTAGAACTAAAAAAATCAAAAAAAATCTTATTTTCTCATATTAAATTATGTTTCATAGCTAAATATTTGATATTAAATGAAAGCCCTGTTTCCCCTGAATAAAATGATATATAATAAGGGTGGGTGCATTTACTATGAAAGAGGTGTATTACGGTTGGACAGACATGTAGCGCAAATGCCAGGTTTTGTTTACATTTTGTTTCGTTCACACTGTGTACATTTGGCTCCGTCCTTAAGGGGTTAAACACACTTATTATACCCAGGGAGGCAAAAGCAGACGCGTTCTAGTTCAATCCCTACGACAGGGTAGACAAACTACGTTTATATCAACCATTAAACTCTCTAATGGCACCCATACATGCTGTATGCCAGACATTGTGGCTTTTCAATCTAACTACACGAAACTATACAACTTGAGGGAAAAAACACCCTTGGCACAAGATATAAAAGACTTCCTTTCAAAAAGGATTAAAACTACTGTACCACATAATGAGTTCCTAGATAGCCCTTTTTTGGAAGACTAAGTTCATCAAACACATCCTACTAGGCAAAAGCCTGGGCCCAGATGGCTTCCCGGGCAAATACTATAAAAATCCTAACATCAGTTCTAGCACAACCATTCATAAACTCCTTCAACTCCATAACCAAGGCCCCTTCCCTGCCTCCGTCTGCGTTGGAAGCAACCATAGCCTTACTTCCCAAACCTGGGGAAGACCCAGTGAATTGTGGTAGTTACAGGTCCGTTACGCTAATAAATATTGACATCAAAATCTTCACAAAAATTCGGGCCACCAGATTAAAACCACTGCTTCAGGGGCTTTGTGCCTGGTAGGGAAGCAAAAAATACCACCAAAATCATAAAACTAGTGCACTAGACGAAGTGAAGTAAGACACAGAGTGCTCTGTTGGCCATTGACGGCGAAAAGGCATTCGATATGGTGGACTGGTCCCTGATGTTGGAAACCATAAAACGCTTTGGCAAACAGTTGGCTCAATTGGTTGAGAGCCATCGATTCATCTCCCACTGCTCGTCTACACATTAATAGACAACTTTCTAGTCCAGGGAAGATATCTAATGGCACGAGACAGGGGTGTCCCCTGTCTCCCCTCATATTTATACTGGTATTGGAACCATTCTTACAGGGAATCCGAGACAGCCAGCAGATCTGAGGCTTTCAAATCTTTGAGGAAGAATAAAAGATCTCTGCTTTTGCCAGTTACCTACTCTTCACTGTCGCAGATCCACTAAACACTCTCCCGCATATCCTTGCAGAAATGGATATCTACATCAATTTCCAAGCTAATCTCTCTAAATGTGTTACTACCCTTGAACACATCAGATATAGACCCAAATCTGAAACAACAGTACCACTTTATGTGGACCAACACCTCCATCAAATACCTAGGTATACACCTACCACTTAAACTTAACTTTTCCCCACTCTTAACCGCCATATATAAAGATGTGTATATGGCACAAACCAAGTTATGGATGGTTTTGCAGGATCAACATTTGGTGTGGA